AACTGATACTAACACACTCTCAGCAAAAATGCAAGTTGCTTTGAATTAGTGATATTTAGCAAAAAACATTCATCGAAAGGCTGGATTTTTGGCTTGTATTAAGCTGTTAACTTTGACGTTAGCTTTCAAAGGTGGTGTTTGGTTATATAGCTGGGACTGTCTGTTACAATGAAGTCATTGGCTTGTACTTACATTGTTAAGTACTTACTTACATTGGCTACGTAAGTACTTGGCTGCTCCACAAGTACTTACGAAGGATTCATGTAACTGTGGAATGCTAAAAAATATAAGAAAAACTGGGGGGAGGCATTCTTCAGCTGAACTATGTGGTCATAAAAATGCGTGAGCTTTTCTGTAGTCTGTCAGACTGTGTTCTGAGAGGCAATAAAGCCAGACTCTAGTTTCATGTGCAAACACTTGCATTTTTTAATACAGTCTTAAAAACCTCCGTCAACAGAAAATAACTGCTGTCAAATTCAACCAACTGAAAAAACCCACCTGAGTCAAAGAAATGACGAAACTATCACTTTACATGGTGCCCGATTTTTAATATCACTCTTTCAGCAGACACTCTGCACTATAGTTTTGGGTTGCCACTTACTTTCTTGCTCTGAAAAAATATGTGTGGTTTTCTTTCATGTGTACAAGGCAACAGGTGGTCTACTAACAGAAATGCATGTCTCTTTTGATGCTTTTGCAGATAGTTATTCCTGCACCTGGAAAGGTGAAAAAACACAGAAACTAGGGAACTCTTACTTCTTATATGCCTTAAAATAAATTTGTTTATCTTTGCATGGGGCTCAAAGACAATCTCAGTCTTCTGTACCTGAAAAGTATTAGCGTTTGTAGGACTCTCTTCCTTAATAGCAGATGGATCTCTGGGCTGCTGAAAGGTTCTGGAAATAAGATGTCTTTCTCTAAATTGTGGCACTCATGTCTTCATCTTTAATTTCTTACTAAGACTCTGAATTATGTTGTTATGAATTGGCATCTAACACTGGAGAGCTAGGAAAGCTGCTGATGCTGACTCAGCCAAACGATGGCCTGATCAGTGAACTCGCTGGAAATCAGGTAGCCCTTCTGAAAGGCACTGAACTCAAAATGAATGTTACTAAATGTAAGCCCTGTTTTCTTAGTATGATGTGCCTGCTTCAGGGTACCGTGTTGTGCAGCTCCCATCTAGATAGTATGTCAAAATGGACTTGGTCTGTGGACTGCAAACTTGCTGGGCATGCTTTGAACAAGCATGGTCTGTGGTCCTTGCTGGAATGACTCCAGCAAAGGGCAGCTAACGTGATTAAGGGACTGGACCACCTTTCATATGAGAAGAAGCTGAGAGAGCTGGAGTTGTGTGCTGGGTTTATGTGATGGGTTTTTGGTAGTGGGGGCAGATTGCAGAGATGGCCTCTGTAAGAAGCTGCAAGGAGGTTCATGGGCTCCAAAACCATTCGGACCAGCCTCTGCCCAGGTCTGACCCTTCTCCCCACTGGTCAGGGCCATGCCAACCAGCGCCTCTGCGAATGCCCGATTTAAGAAGGGGATAATGGAGCCCGAACCAGGCTGAACCTGCAGTAAAGAGAGGTGGGAGGTGGAGGGCTGGCCCCCCAGCCTCCTGGGCAGGTGGCTGCTCGTGCTGGGCCACCACCACTTGGCTGGAGATAGCTGTGGTGGCATGGCTTGGAGAGCTCTGAAGTGCCTAGCTCTTGGGGTGCCCGCTGGGCAGAGTCCATTCTGGTGGGACTGCTGAGATTTATTGGGCCGGTCGAGCCTGGCACGGCTGCAGCAGAGGGAGGACTGAGACCTGAGAGAAACAGCTATGCAGACACCAAGGTCAGTGAAGAAGGAGTGGGAGGAAGTGTGCCAGAGCTGAGGTTCCCCTGCAGCCTGTGGTGAGATGGTAGGTGGCCCCTGTGCCACCGTGAACACTAACAGTGGAGCAGAGATCCATCTGAAGCCTGTGGAGAACCCCATGCTGGAGCAGATGCCTGTGACTGAAAGAGGTCATAGATTGTCTCAGTGGGAAGGACTGCCCATGCTCCTGGAGACTGACAACGAAACAGATGCATCTGAAGTCCATGGAGGACCCCACACTGGAGCAAGTGGCTGCGCCCCAAGAAGCCATGATTCTGTGGGAAAAGCCGACGCTGGCGCAATATGATGGGTAAGGATTCCATCCTGCAGGAAGGACTCATGTTTGAGAAGTCTGTGGACTGTCCCGTGAGGAGAGGATGCAGTGGGAAGGGGAAAAGAGTGTAAGGAGTCCTCCTCCTTTAAGAAAGGAGCGGAGAAAAAGAGTGTCAGGAACTGACCTTCACCGCTTCCCGCCTTCCCTGTCTCCCTGCACTGCTGAAGGAGGAGGTAGAGCCAGGAAGAAGGGAGGGGTGGGGTAATGTGTGTTTAAGATCTGGCTTTGTTTCTTGTTATCCTCTCAAGTAACTGTTAAAAATTAAATTGATTTGTCCCCAAGCTGAGCCTGTGTAGCCTGGGGCAATGGTTGGTGAATGATGGCTCCCTGTTATTGTTTCGACCCTCAGTCCTTTGTTACGTTTTTCTCCGCTCCACCTCACTGAGGGAGCGGAGTGAGCGGGTGACCGCCTGGTAGCTTAGCTGCTGGCTAGGCTAAACCACGGAGATTGTCTATCCTGCAGAAGAGGAGAAAGGTTGTCTAGCCTGCCAAAGAGAAGGAATGCTCAAGGGGGTCCTCTCGACAAGTATTTATGTACATTGATAGGATCTAAAGACTGAGCCAGGCTCTTCAGTGGTGCCTGCTGACAGGACAAGAGACAATGGGTGTAAATTGAAACACAGGAAGTTCTGTCTGAACATAAGGAAATACATTTTAACTGTGGTTGGACACTGGAATAGGCTGCCCAAAGAGGTTGTGGAGTCTCCCATCCTTGGAGATAGTCAAAACCCAACTGGACAGAGTATTGAGCAAGCTGTGCTAGCTGACCCTGCTTGAGCAGGGGTTTGGACTAGACAATCTCAAGATGTTCCTTCCAACCTCAACGATTCTGTGATGATCAGATGCAGGTGTGTAAGAAAGATTTTATGTAAAAAATGTTTTACCTGTTGGATCTTATGCTGATTCACTTGTATTTGTGCAAGTAGCTAGTGTAGCATGGAGTCTTGTAACAAACTCTCTGGTCTTAGATGATCCTTATATTAAACACGATGCAGGAGGAGGGGAGGGACTTCGTTTCTTAATGGGAAAAGCTATAATGGTAGTCTCTGTATTCTTAATCTTGTAAGTCTTTTGTACTCATTCTCCAATTGGCTTTTATTTCTGGCTGCTCTTTCTTGGCCTTCCCTCCTCAAAAATTGTGTTGGGGAAAACGTGAGTAAAGCAATACTGTGTTGCTATAAGCATATTTCTAATATCATACAGTGATCTTGACTTGAGAAGGGAAACAATGACTATAAAAATGTATAGAGATGTATTTTAAGACACCAGAATCATGCATAAACACTCTTAAGAGTGCTCATGGGGAGTAACTCTGCTGTCTGCTGCATGCTGCCCAGAGAACACCCAGCCTTCGGCACTCTTAGTTGGTTAGCAACGCGCTGCCTTCGAATCTGCTTTCAAGTGTGCCTGCCTTTTCCTGTTGACCTTGGTGAGAATTGCCAGATGAATGTAAATTTTTTGTTCCCTTAGATACAAAATGAGACGGGGTTGTCCTCATTGTCACTTGTGTTCTCTGACATGTAAAAATTATTGGTTCAGTATAAACTCTCTTCTGAAGGACGGTGACATTAAGAACACTCTTGGTCTGTGCTGTGTTCATACATTATTCTGCTGGCTACCTGCTGTCACTACTGCATAGGCTGCATGTTATAATTCCTGGATATTACATTAGTGCCTTCTGCTCTAAACGAATCCAAGGTCAAGAGTATTTGTAGTTTGCACTTCGGTTGATCAGGGAATGCAGAAGAGTTGAATGTTTTCTCCCTTCTCTCCCCAGACAGCCTGCCTGCGTTCCCCATTGCCATGGTGGCAGGGATAGTCATCGGTACGGTTACAGGTCTCTCACCGCTCATCTCTATTGTCGTGTGTCTTGTCATCAGAAAGAACAACTCTAAAAAACGATACTCTGGGTAAGAGATCTCCCTCCTCACCTGCGGATGATGTGAGGAACAGCAGCAGGATCAGAGGGAGGGCTTAGAGGGGGGTAGGAGTTGTTCCAGCCAAGTCTTGGCAACCACGTCTAGAAATAGGGTGTGGCCATGTGGAAGGAACATTGATCATCTACGTATAATGATTATCTTTGTGCTGTGCTTGGAAAGACCTACTGACCATGAGTTGCACCTGCAGATCACTAAATGTCGGAGCTGGTCCCCAGCCACTAGCATATATATGCCCTAAGAACATTTAATCCAAGATCTCCTAGCTCTGGTCTGTTCCCCTTCCCTTCCCTCCAGCCCTAATTCCCCCTGGAACCCCCAACCCCCAAAAGAAAAGTGCCACACATGCACTTTTAAGGAGTGCTCTGTTGAGGCAGAGATTGAGACTTGATTTTTCACTTACCAGTGTGTGGCTCCTGAGCCTGGAGTATACTTACCAAAACCCCATTCATCACCACGCTTCAGAGTAAGGAAGGAATAGCCACTCTGCATCCATTCTCATTCACTGTCAATTTTTTGTTAACAATTACCATCCCTGCAAGGTTTTTAGTGTTAGGAGGATAACTCCAAAGTGAAGCACAGATCTTTGAGCGTATGAAAAAGCAACAAGAACTAACAAAGGCAGACTTGAGTCCTGTGCTGATGGAGCTTGGTGCTGGTGGAGGAGGCACTTCCTTTTTTCTCCTCTCTAATTAGCTGGTAATTTGCTTCTATGAGAAAGAATGAAAATTATATATGTAGTCTTAGAAACAAACCCCAAACTTAAAACTTTCTTCCCTGCTCTCCCCAACAAATATTCCTGCTTCCTGCAGGTTCTTTGGGTTGCCTGTGGGATAAAAGAACTCCAAAAATAAACTTGTGGGGAATTCTAAATTAAACTTTGCCCTATCCTTTTCCCAGTTGGAGAGCTTAGAGAAAGTGAGTTGGCTATTGCCCAATGGTAAGGCTAAACATAGCAGAGGTGGCTGTGTGTGCTCAAAATTGTGTGGAAAGCCTGGTTTTCGCTTTCTGCATGTGACCTTCCCCTAAGAACTGAAAAGAAGCCTGCAGTGTCATGGACCAGCAGCGTGTGTGAGGTGGTTCGCTTGCCTTGCTTCCTAGTGACATGCTCTCCAGTGCCTTCCTGGCTGGTGTTGAGCCTGGAGCAGTAGTTCATGCACTGTAATTTCTTGTAGTACATTTAGCTGCTCTCTCGGGAAAGTAACCTCTGAAGTTTAAATACTGCTTTCACTGACCACGCCAGCTCTGCATGACGTGTAAAGAAAAACAAGTGTGCTGTGACTCCTTCCAAACTTACAGACTGTCTTCTACATGATGCTAACCCAGTGTGTGGTGGTGGTGGTGGTGGTGAGATGCACGTAACCTTAGATAATCATTCTGCATTGAACTGAGGTGGGCTGGGGCACTGCGCGGCATCTGGAACCCCTGCATGGCCACAGTCTCCGTTCATGCTCTGACTTTGGTGTTGTTTGTTTTTTTTTTTCTTTCTGCCTTGGTGTGCTGGGATCGGATCCTGCTTACCTTCCTCTCCTTACAGAGATCCTGATATAGACGCCAGATTGGGAATGTAGCAGGGCTGGGTCTTCTCTTCCAGGCCCACTAGACACCATGGTAACTAATCAAGTTGGTGATTGCTGTTAATACCTGTGTGTATGTGTACACATTTCCTCTTCCTTTGCTGACTAACCAGCTAGCTCTCTACTAACTTCACTATAATTTGTGCTGGAATCTGTTGGCAAAGGGATGATGCATTTCACTGGGTGCTTGGGTTTCATTGTCTCATGTCTAACTGGGGTGGGATTGCTGCTTATCCCAGGTAGTGTCCCTCCATCTCTTCCAACAGTGAACTTGCCAGTACAGGAAATTCAGAGCACTTTCTGTATCAAAATACAAGTGAATTCCCTAAAAGTGTTCCTCTGGCTCAGACAGCTTGGGTGTTTGAAAACTTGCAGTGTCCTAAGGGCATTAGTTGCTTAAACCTGAATTACGACTTTCAGATAGTGTAGATCTGAGGAATTTTGTGAATAAAGCAAACAATTCATGATTACATCATTTTGGTAACAGAAGAGCTGCTTTATCTCTGTTTGAGGCAGTGGAACCCCTTGCTGTGATGGCTGGGCGCAGTACTTTTATTTTTTTTTCTTACTGCTGCATGTATGAGGAGCTAGGTCTTCTATGGTTAGAATTACCAAAGGGTAAAAGGTGATTGCCCTGCGAGGAGGTGGTCTGCTTAATGTCACTGTCCTCATTTGTTTCTGTACTTGCTTTGTACACTGTCTGTCTACAAAGGTTGGGGTAAAAGAATACCCAGTGGTCAGAGGGCTGTAGTAGCAAAGGAAACTCCTATGTCTGCTGTTGAGGGGGTGGCTGGTTTTCTTTCCTGGGTGCTTGGGTACAAGGAGGTAGACCTAGCATTTAGACATCCATTACTGCATTGCCCAGAAGCCACCCATTCTAAATTTAAGGGCATTTGCTCATAGACTTAGCTCTGTGGTATTAATTTCTCTGTCTGTCACTGGCTTGTTTTCTTTTCACTCCTGCTTTAAGGAGACGGAAAGAAGCAGAGTGAAAACTGGCAACCTTCTTTTAGGGGTGTTGGTTCTCACCACAAGACAGTTTTCTTATTTGAAAAACAAGATTTTCCAGAAATTATATTCAAGTAGCTACATCAGAGCACATAGCTTACATGTCACATGTGACTCCAGTAATTGCTCCAGAGACTAGTGTCTGTTGTGAGTGGGCAGAATTATTCTGGGATCGTAGCCTAACCAAAAGCACAGGAACTAATGTGGAGTTTGGTAGGAAGTACCTTTCTGATATGGAGAGCTGGTGGCTCTTGCAAGTGTTTGCTGTAACTGTAGTACTGGTATAACGCTTGCCTCAATGACTGGGACTGTTTAGCTTATAGTTAGAAAATTATTGGTGTTTACCACTGTTAACTGAGTCTGAAGCCTCAGTGAAGAAAACACGATTTTAGGCAGTTTGGGTTGAATGGGATTATCTAGGGAACAAGGGTCTTGGAGGAGCTGCTGTCCTATGTTAATAGTTGTTCCTTCATGTTGCTTATTAGTGAGACTCTGAGAGGAAGGATAGAGAAAAGTCTGGGGAGAGATGGAGAATTGTATGTGTTTATTTCAGAATCCATTATCTTCATTTTTACTTTGGCATAACCTGCCGCATTCATCTTGCCATCACTCGTTTTTTGTTTTTGTTCTTTTTTTTGGTTTTGTGTGCCTCTTGAACATTGTCGTGCAAACTCTGCTCTGCCACCTCGTCAGCTGCAGTACATCTGAGAGCTTGATGTCACCGGTTAAGCAGGCTCCACAGAAGTCGCCCTCCGACACAGAGGGTCTGGTAAACAGCGTGCCCGCCAGATCACACCAGGTAAACTGCTTCTTGCTGCTTCCCGAAGCAGGATCCTCCCAGAGTGTGGGGGAGATGGTATGGAAAAGATAAAGGCAGGGTGGGACACATTAATTAAGTGCTATCTGTTAAGGTGATGAGGGCTGGAAGGTAAAAGTGCCTGGTCCACACAAGGGATGGGCAGTAAGCTGAGACTGGTGAATTCTTCCATACAAGGCTTTGTGCCATTGAAAGAAGAGCATCTTGATATTGGTTGAGATGGAGTTTTACGCCCTTTTTGTACTAATGTATAACATTCTGGTCTTACGCATTAACGTATACAAGGGTTAGTGAAGTGCAAGAATGAGAGCCTGGCAAGGATGAGGAGTGGGCAGTGTATAGCTGTTTAATGTAGAGACATCACCTACTAGATCTGTAATTGCGCCATAAAGATGCCTAATCTGTTCTAGGATTGTAATGGGGAGGAATTTTATTTACTCTCATCACTGTGAAGGTCCATGCTCTGTGGCATGTACTTCCTTCGCAGGGAAATGAGCCAGCACAATGCAAACACTGACCAGCGATGATCAGTTTGAAGATGAATCTTGCTGCTGAGAGCTCTCCTCTGCTGAGCCACCTTTTGTAGGCTTGGAATTGCCAAGCTTTGTCTTGTTCTTGCTGCTGTTGGAAACATTTTGCTGACTTTGAAGGAAGGTGACTGTTATCCAGACCTAGCATCTCATGGGAAATTAGTCAGAGGGGAGAGAGCATGAGTCAGACAGGGATTCTACGCAATACATGATTATCTGTTAACAGTGTACAGGATTTCCTTGTTTGTAAGCTGTTTCTTACCTCTTGATTTGTGTATCCCCAGCAGTTTTCCTGTGGAGGTATGAATCCTGAGTGAGTTTAAGTCTGAAGTGGGCTTTTTCTTAATTAGTCACCATTTAGCATGTGGCTGCAGAGTAGTGTGTGAACTGATGGGTTTCTAAATCAGAGTTGATACATGGTTTCTTAATTTCTCCTGTCAATAACAGAGATGTATGTTAATGTGTTAACACTACAAGACAAAAATAGAGTGCTAACAGTGAGCTGGATAAAGTCAAAGTCCCCACTCTGTTGGGCTTCCAGTCTGGTTTTGAAATGTGTTTTGTTCTTGGCAGGTGCAGTATTTCCAGAGTTTTAGCACATAGGCCCACAACTGACTTTGGAGAACCGTTATTCTCTGAACATAAAGGCAATAAGTTAAAGTTATAAGATTTAAAAATAGTTCAGATTTTGATTGGAGTGGGTCTAGTAGCAGCAGGCTGCCTGTAAGGCCTAGATAAAGCACATCTTTTCTATTTCATGGAAGGGGCTTCTAGAATGGGTGAATGAGACAGGTGATTCCTGCCCTCCCCCCAGAAAAAAAGAAAAGAAGAAAAAAAGAAAAGAAGAAAAAAAGAAGCGTTATGTTCAGGATGTATGTAGCACTAGCTGTTAGAGACAACTTCCCTAGGTCAAAAGACCGAGACGTTTTATCTAATTGCTGCCATGATACAAAGCAGTAAATGCAAGTGCCCTGAGAACTACTTGGAGGAAGAGTTTTGCAATTCTGCACTTACATCTTGAAAGCAAAAATACTTTTATCTTCTCTGTAATGTTTTGGTGTGAAAACTTGCTGTATCCTCACCCTTCCATCTCCCCAGTATTCTGAGTCTCAATGTACTAGAAGGAACATGTCAGAGTAAATCTAACCTTTGTGAAGATAACTCAGAATTAGTGTGCTTCTGCCCTTCTGTAGTCACTCCAGTCTGCTTATTCCTTGAAAGAGTCCTCCAAGGTCTTTCCGCAGGTGAGTTCCAAAAGGAAAAACAGAAGTTTGAACACTCCTGACCTCAAAGGAAAAATATGGGAAATGGCTTTAGTTTTGTTTAGTTTTAGTTTTTTAGGTTTTGAATCTCTTTTGTCAGGCAAAGAGAACTTTGTCTGGATTTTCTTTTCTTGGCAAATATTTGTAGCAGCAAGTAGTTCCTGTACCTTCTCCCCTATCTTAACAGAACAGCAAGTAAACATGTTTACTTCTCTTTAAAAAGTTCCACAATAAAATCAGAGTAGATCAGGTTTTGAACAGATGGTTTAAATCAGTTAGGGAACTCAAAAAATCAATTGCACTTATGTTTTTAACTTCTAGCTGTTTTTTTTTCTTTTTTAAAAAAAGGTAATATCAACAGGCAAATTAATGTATTTGAAATCTAGCATCATGTGTAAATAAAACCTGGTATCTCCTGGTAATCAAGAAATTAGTTGTAGTGTGCAAGCATTTGAGCTGTTGCATAGGTGAAATGCTGATATTCAGATTCCTAGCAGTTCCCAGAATCTGCTGCAGGCTGCTTGCAGATTCAGGCACACTTTTGTGTCTTGGATTGCCTGGCAGTTTTAGACCAGTGGTTCGCACAGTCAGTGCTGTGGTCAAACAGTAAAGGCCTGTGGGCTTCCTTGTATGCTTTGTGCTTCGCTGTTGGAGAAGAACTGTGAACACAAATGCACAAACCCTGTATTATTTAACCCTGCAAGTTAAAAACAGTAATAGAGATGTTCACTCTCGAAGAGTACCATTACCAGTACCAAAAAAATTAAAAAATTATTAACTTTATTAAATGAAGTTTATTAATTTTGTTATTTATGGATCAGTTTAAGAATCAGTGATGAAGTATTTGTCCCCATCACTTCTCAGCTGAAAGTGCACTTCAGCCTGCACTTCCTTTGTGTTTTGAGTGCAAGTTTATCAAGTGTGGCCCTTGCTTTCTGGAATGTCCCAGAGTGCTGAAAGTATGCCTATCTGATTCTGGTTGAATCAAATCCACTTGTTTTCTCTGTGTCTTCCTTCTCTGTGTCTTCCTTCTCAGCAGGTATGTTCTGTCCTGTCAAATTTGTATGGGGTGGTTCTTCTCTATGCCATCATACCGTAGTGACTCGTATTTCTACCATGACTCTTACTTGGACGAGTGAGAAAAGCATTTCCAGTGAAGGCAAGAACTCTATGTGTTTCCCAGATGGATGTCCTGATGTCCTTGTTTAGCTAGTAATCTGGGTTGCAGCAGGCAAACTAGAAGGCAGATATGTGTTGTCCCAAGACACACTGACTCCAAGGTGTCTGTCATTTGTCTTTGCGCTTTGCAAGTAGCTGAGTATTCATTTTTGGGCGGGCTGAGAGACCACTCATCTCAAAGTATAACTTCCATAGAAGTGCATTTCTGACGTACAGAGCAGTATGTTACAGAGAACCTAAGCAGTCAGGTCTGCCAGTGTAGAAGCAGGGAGCACTAAAGGTACATTAACTGAAGTGCAGATCTCTGGCTTTGCTCTTTCTGGTTTAAGACATACCTGAACAGGCTACATTCGAGCTCTGATCAAGGCTTTGAACTGGACCCCAGGACCCTGGAAAGGAGCAGTTCATGGTGCTGGGAATCTTGACTTAAATTTCAGATCAGTTTCCTGGATCTGGAATCTGTATTAGTTGCAACACCTTTCAGTATCCAAACAAATTGGAAAATGCGGTAGACCGCTGTGGTCTAACTCTGTAACTCCTTTATATTTGCTGTAACTTGCAATTCATGACTCTGCTGACAAACCTTTAGCAAGGTATCAGTACACCTGCTACTCTTTTCCCTTCAGTTCTGAATGGAAAACCAGCAAGCCTTAGGGAAATGTTGTGTTTTATATGGCAGTGCTGTTGGTGTCATAAGGTAAAATTATGACCTTATGCAATTAGGTAAAAGTTCTGAATTGTTCAGACTTCTTTGAAGCTTTTACTTGTGGAAGAAGAGTCTTTACAAAGATTCAGATTGCTGGAGGTATAAAACGCAGGAAAAAAAGTGGCCCTAGTGCTGATTATAATCAGCTAGAAAATCAGTTGGCAGTCAATAAAATAGATGGAGCATTATAATAAATCCTGGCTTCTCCTTTTCTCTGTGTTAGCTTGTCTACTGCTTATTTAGGTGATAGTGAACACATCGAAACAATAATAGCTTGGTTTGGATCAGATGATCACACCAGTCAGTCTCTCCACCACCACCTAACATACTGGTTGCAGCAGAGTAACTATATTTAACCTGGCATAAAATTAGAATAGTGGTAAGATAACTGATCCTGAGTGAACTCCTGTAGTAGAAAATTGAGCCATCAGAATTACTTGAACAAAACTTGAAATGTTGTAGTGATTACTTTATGCAGTTGTAGATTTAAATTTTTTTTTTTTAACTGACAAGAAGTGCTCTTGAGCTGAATTTGTTGTACCCTTGACCTATGGCCTCAGGCAGATGAGACTTCCAAAACTGCTTACAAATAAACCTTAGGGTCACTTTGCCTTGAATATATAGACACTACACTCTAATAGGAATTGGTAATGTAATCCTGATACAATGTTAGAGACCAGAACAGCCAATAGCAGAAAAAAGAAAAAAAACCCATCACTCTAATGAGACTTGAAATCCAGAATTTTCTAAAACATCCGTGTCTTTGTTTTCTGGAGCATTTTCTCAGTCTGTTATTTATATTCAGCATTTTATATCTGCTCTCAAGTTTTCATCCTTCTGTCCATCTCCTTCCTCTACTCTTTATCACTTGGGAAATACTTTTCCCGGAAGGGAGAAAATTTGGATTTAAACTACTTGTGAAAGAGAACAAGGTATTTATCAGGTGCATGCTTTGCCATTGTGTTGGGGGGAAAAGAGCTGTGCAGAAGTGTACCTATGGTCCTTCAAGGGCTTAATTTTCTGTACAGAAGTCTCTTTTCATCTCTGGTCTCTAATTGCTTTGGAAGATAGATGGAAGGATTTCTGGGTCAGATCCATAGAGGTGTTTTCTAATTTGATGGGATACGAAGAGTACTGGGGAGAAGGGGGTAGGAGAAATGCCTGTGAAGGCTACTTCTTCCTGGGACATAAGGGAAACAGAAACAGACTTAAATGGAAGAAATGGTTTTGAAGCAAAAACTGCTAAAAAAGCTGCAACCAAACTAAAAGATCTCTCCTTGCAATTTCCCCCACCCACCCTCAAATAGGACAGTCCCTTTCCCTCCTGCATGTGGGGTGTGCGTGGGTGTGTGGCCTCTCTGCTGAGGTCACCTGATGGGTGATGGAAGCCTTCTGCTCTGCACTGGTGTCAATTAGGGCATGCAGAATGGGAGCTGCAGGTCAGACCTTTCCATAAAGGTCCCACCTGTCTTGTTGAGTACCTGCTCTGTATCGGCTGCAGGTCTGTCCTCAGCCCATCATGAGTTGCTGCAGTTCGCTTTCCTGTGGGCTGGGTTTTGGAGGACACGGTGTTTTAGGAAGGCGCTGGCGTGTTTGTGTGCTCTGCTGAAAGATGGTGCTGTAATGTCCTCCCCTGCACCCCAGCAAATATAACAAAGGTGTGTGGCTGTGCTTGTTGCCCTGTGTGTCTGTGGAGGTGCTCACTACCTGGGTTGGCTCGAAAGTCAGGTAAGAATTCTGCATTACTGCACCATGTCAGTATTTTCTGGCTCACTGCTGTGTCAGTCTTGATTCTGTCACTTGCTTGGGCAGTGACTGGTGTCATAAGGCGGCTGTAGGTTTGTTCTCTCCCTCATTATCTGAGCGGTACAGCTGTGCTGGGATTTACAGGACTCACATGGCAGTATGGGAAGTATACCCTGCTGTCTGTTGGTAAATCTGTAGTACAATTCCTCTTGAAAAATATTAAATCTGGCACACGCATCTGTCTAAGCCATGTATCTTTGCTGCATAGCATGTAAGAATTGCTGCTTTTCAGAGCAGAGGATTCTAGATTTCGCTTTTTGTGAGAAGCAAGCAGCCATAACAGTATTAGAGGGAGGAAATGGTGCTGTTTGGCGTGTTCCTGACAGGGGAAAGGTGGCAGACTAGAGTGAGGGTTCATTCCACCTGCTTCAAAGTGCTGTTAGCAGTCATAAAAGCTCTGTGGTCTTGTGTTGGCTTTGGTCTTGCTGCAGTCCCTGCGGAAGCGAGGGGCAATACAACCTACTCTGGAAAATACTGATGGTGCTTTTTTTATTCTGTTCCCAGGGCCCAGTCATTTACGCGCAGTTAGATCACTCCGGAGGACAGCACAGCGACAAGATAAACAAGTCAGAGTCTGTGGTCTATGCTGATATTCGGAAGAACTGAGATGAGATCCTAAGCTATCCAAAGGAAAACACACATTCAGGCTGGAATTGCTTGAACAAGATTTGACCCAGAGAACTCACATGTGGCCTTTGATGCCTAGGCTAGGACCAATGCATGTGCATACAGAGGGAAAGATATATATGTATTGTGTGTAAATAGTCTATTTAATCGTACAGAAGTGAGACCAATGTTGCATGTTGAAATGCGGTAAGAATTTTGCTTATAAATTGCTAATATTCTTTTTTGTATCTTGTGTGACGAGAGAGAAAGTGAAAACTCACATTGCAATTTTAAAATGTTTTTATCTTGATTATTAATGGAGAAACTGGAAGATGCCCGAAGGTTCTAGATTGACCTGGAGATTCTTTTTTTTTTTTGCTTATAGGGCCTAATTTCTTTCATTGAGGTGAATATAAAGAAGATATCTTCCTTATATTCACAGAGTTCTTTATGTCTACAGGGTATTTATCTTTCCTTGTTCAGATTCTCAGTACAAGCTGCCTTCTCATATAAACTAAACACTCTCACTTGGTCTTGTAAGCCAAATTGTGACTCCTAGCTATCAGAAATGTATGTCTTAGCAGTGTAAGTGAAGAAAATGTTTAGGCCTACCTGACCTGTGCAACACAGGTCACAGAACTGTTTACTTCTGTATTGAGCCCATCTATTCAATCTTAGTCCTTTAAGGTACAGGGATAGTGTTGATCTAATGAATTTCGTGAAATGGTAGTTTACCTATGAAAACTTGAGAGCTAGTGAGTTAAAGGGATAGGAAACTATAGCTGTAGGTGTTTGCCTCAGACTCTTTTAAAACCTTTCAATGAGATGTTTCTTCCTCAAAGCTCTGTTTCATATAAGCGTGAAAAAGGGCCCCAAGGGATCTAGAAGCTGTAGTACTCCCTCACCTCTCTCCTGTGGCTCTGTATACCACTGTCACTTCCTTAGAGATGCTTTGTCTGTTCTTAAGAGCCTGTAGTGGAGGCTGAACGACATCTGGAGGAAATCTAGGGCTTCACTCTGCAGTTTTTTTGATGTGTGTGGGTTTTTTGTTTAACCTGTATTTTCAGAGAGGAAGGCAGTTTATTTCCTTCTGCTCTGCAAGTCTACTACTTGAATATAATTTCCCAGCTTCTTGTTTCTAGATTAAACTCATGGATTGTTAAGGATCTCTGATCATTCCCTTCTGCCGAAGAGGATCTTTCTTTAGACTTCTTCTTTCTTTTCATTTGTATCCTGAAATCTAGTGCTCAAAACTAGAAGTGGCATTCTAGCTGAAGTCTTTTCAGAGTAGCATAGAATCACAGAATCATAGAATGGTTAGGGTTGGAAGGGACCTCAAAGATCATCTAGTTTCAACCCCCCTGCCATGGGCAGGGACACGCTCCACTATACCAGGTTGCTCAATGCCTCATCCCTCCTGGCCTTGAGCACTTCCAGGGATGGAGCAGCCACAACTTCTCTGGGCAAACTGTTCCAGCCCTCAATGTAAAAAATTTCTTTCTTATATCTAATCTAAATCTACCCTCTTTCAGTTTAAGTCCATTGCCCCTTGTCCTATCACTACACGCCCTTGTCAGAAGTCCCTCTCCAGCTTTCCTGTAGGCCCCCTTTAAGTACTGGAAGGCTGCAATAAGATCACCCCGGAGCCTTCTCTTCTCCAGGCTGAACAGCCCCAACTCTCTCAACCTGTCTTCATAGCAGAGGTTCTCCAGCCCTCGGATCATCTTCATGGCCCTCCTCTGGACTCGCTCCAGTAGCTCCATGTCCTTCTTGTATTGGGGACTCCAGAGCTGAATGCAGTACTCTAGGTGGGGTCTCACGAGAGCAGAGTAGAGGGGCAGAATCACCTCCCTCGACCTGCTGGCCATGCTTCTTTTGATGCAGCCCAGGATACAATTTGCTTTCTGGTCTGCCAGTGCACATTGCTGGCTCATGTTGAGCTTCTCATCCACCAGCACTCCCAAGTCCTTCTCCTCCATGCTGCTCTCAATCCATTTTCCGCCCAGCCTGTACTTGTGCTTGGGATTGCCCCGACCCATGTGCAGGACCTTGCACTTGGCTTTGTTGAACTTCATGAGGTTCTCACAGGCCCACCTCTCCAGCCTGTTAAGGTCCCTCTGGATGGCATCCCTTCCCTCCAGCGTGTCCACAACACCACACAGCTTGGTGTCATCCACAAACTTGCTGAGAGTGCACTCGATCCCACTGTCCATGTCGCCAACAAAGATGTTAAACAGCACTGGTCCCAGTACTGACCCCTGAGGAACCACTTGTCACTGGCCTCCACTTGGACATTGAACCATTGACCACAACTCTTTGAGTGCGACCATCCAGCCAATTCCTTATCCACCGAGTGGTCCATCTGTCAAATCCGTGTCTTTCCAGTTTAGAGACAAGGCTATAGTAGAAGGATTCTTGTTTTGTACATCCTAATGTGGTGTTGGCTTTTTTGTAGCAGCAAATAATTTTCAGTTTGGTCTACCATAACCCCTTTGTGATGGTTTGTTGTGGCGGAGGAGGTTCTCTCTGATTCTTACCCATTTCCTAGTTCAGTCTATTGCACACAATCAGTCACAGAATGGTTGAAGTTGGAAAGGAGTGCTGGGAGTCCAGCCTCCTCCTCCCCACCCCTCTCAAGCAGGGTCAGCTAGAGCAGGTTGCCCAGCACTATGCCCAGTTGGGTTTTGAGTACCTCCACAGATGGAAACTCTACAACATCTCTGGGCAACCTGAGTGCTTTCTTGTGTTGAGGTGGAATTGCCTTTTTTTACATTTCTGTCTGTTGCCTCTTGTCCTGCCAGTCAGCACTACTGAGAAAAGTAGCGCTCTTCATTCCCTCCCATTGAGTATTTTTACATATTGATAAGATCCCCAACAAGCCTTCTTTTCTTCAGGCTGAACAGTTCCAGCTCTCTCAGCCTTTCCTCATATGAAAGGTGCCCCAGTTCCTTCATCATTTTTGTGGCCCTGCACTGGACTTGGTCCACTAAGTCCATATCTCTCTTGTACTGGAGAGCCCAGAACTGGACCCAGTACTCCAGGCGTGGCCTCACCAGTGCTGAATAAAAGGAAAGCACCCCTCCCCTGACCTGCTGGCAATACTTTGCCTAATGCAGTCCAGGATACCATTTGCCTTCTTTGCCCGGCCCGTGATCAACCCGGTCTCCACCAGAACCCCCACAGGGCCTTTCCTCCAAAGCTGATTTCCAGCCAGGTGGCCCTCAGCATGTACTGGTGCATGAGGTTGTTCCTCCTTAGGTGCAGGACTTTGCACTTCATCTTGAACTTTGTGGATTTCCTCTTAGCCCAGTTCTCCAGCCTGTCCAGGTCTCTCCGAATTGCAGCTCAACTGTCTGGTGTGCCAGCATCTATTGCTGGTTTTGTGTTGTCTGCAAATTGTCTCTACTGAAAGTGAGATGGCTTTTTCTCTACGGCTTTTTCAGACCTTGTCTTCAGTTTGTCGGTTGAAAACTTGGTCTGAATTCTCATCCTGTCTTCCAGTGAGCTCACAACACTCTTAGCTTGGTATTTGCAAACTTCAGCCTACACTCCACTGTAACATCAAGTAAATGAAAAATAGTTTTAGGCCTATGGCAGACCCTTTCAGAACCACATTAGATAATCCTTTAATTATGACAGTGCAACACTATATTCTTTCACCAGGATCAGACTTCACTGGTTTCCTGACAACATCTGCCTTTGTTAGAAGCCTCATTAAGATCAGAATGAATCCTGCTGCTGCTGCTTTCATTACCTGCCAGGCTATTACTTCTCAGCATTTGTTTAAGACTTGGTACGAAACAAACTCTTTTCATAGAATCACAGAATCACAGAATGTTAGGGATTGGAAGGGACCTCAAAGGATCATCTAGTCCAATCCCCCTGCCAGAGCAGGACCACCTAGATCAGATCACACAAGAACACGTCCAGGCGGGTTTTGAACATCTCCAGAGAAGGAGACTCCACAACCTCTCTGGGTAGCCTGTTCCAGTGTTCTGTTACCCTTACTGGGAAGAAGTTCTTCCTCATGTTTAAGCGGAACCTCCTATGTTCCAGCTTATATCCATTTCCCCTTGTCCTATCATTGGATGCCAGTGAGAAGAACCTGGCTGCATCCTCATGGCAGTCACTCTTTACATATTTATAAACATTAATGAGGTCCCCCCTCAGTCTTCTCCAAGCTAAAGAGACCCAGCTCCCTCAGCCTTTCCTCATAAGGGAGATGCTCCACTCCCTTAATCATCTTTGTGGCCCTGCGCTGGACTCTCAAGCAGTTCCTTTTCCTTCTTCAACTGAGGGGCCCAGAACTGGACACAATATTGCAGATGCAGCCTCACCAGGGCAGAGTAGAGTGGGAGGAGAACCTCTCTCGACCTACTAACCACACCCCTTGTAATACACTCCAGGACATGGTTGATGGAGAAACTTAATTTTGATCTGCCCGTGTTCGTCCCTGTGCATCACCGTCTTTCTCCGCAGACATTTTAGAGTAAGAGGGAGAAATGTGATGAATGTAGCCATCAAAAACTTGCTGCTATGAGAAGGTAGGACTGTCCTTGGCTCTGAAGTCTGCTGCTAATGTTTGTTTCTTTTCCTGCTGCATCATACTGGAGAATCTGAGCACAGTCCTGATCTGGTGCTAACTTTAAGAAACACGCTCATCTGGTGCTAACTTAAGGACAAGTGCTGATCTGGTGCTGACTTTAGGTGATACTGCTGATCTGGCTGGTGCTAATCTTAGGAAACACACTGATCTGCTTGGTGCTGACTAACTTTAGGAAACATCTCTTTCCATGGATTTTGCTTAGCTACAGGTATGTTTGTATTGCCTATAATGAGAAGGCTTATTGCAAGGCTGCTTGGATTCTCCTTGTGAAGGCAGATTGAACTTGGAGGTATTTGTAAAAAATGCTGAAAATCTTTTGAGAAAGAAACAAAAGTCCCTTCCTTTAGGAATAGCAGAAACCAGTCTGAATCCCTCTCCAGCACGAAAGCTGTTGAATGTCTTCTTTTTTTTTTTTTTTTTTTTTTTTTTTTAATGGAAACATGAACAATGTAGCTATTAAATAACTTATTCCGGCTGAAGTCAAAAGAACTTGAGGCAATGTGAGATGACTCTAGTGAACTTTCTGTCCCTCAGGTTATCTTAGCTTGTTTAATCATGATAACCTGTGCTGATGAAAGGGACCGATGCTAGGTTAGCTGACTTAATGAAGTCTCAGGAGACAGAGGACTTCTACTTCCTTGATGGGTAGCAAGCAGAGATTAAAGTCAGACAAGGTCATCATATCCCAATGTTATGGTGACCAGAAGTTTAACTCTGTTTGCTCTCCTGCTATTCTCTTAATTCTCTGATGCTGTTCTTTGCAGGTGGAAAGGAACAGCTCGGACTTTGAGGAACACTAAGTGTCTTGTTCTTGTCCTGTTGTAGTACTGCTGCTAACTCTTTTTAGGACCATCTATTTTAGAAAGAAGTGCTGTGTGGCAGGCTTGCTGCAGCACAGCTGAGGGGTAGGCAGCCTCTCTCGAGGCAGTAGCAGATGACTAAAACTGTTATGTGGGTCATCACTCTTGGACAGTGGAGCTTAGAAAGGTCTGTGTGATGTAAAAGACTTCCAATGAATTCTCTTATTCATTATGCAAACAAAACCAGGATCAATCTGAAAGCCATTTCTCAGCTGAAGGGGAAAAAAAAAAAGTCTTTTCTAGGTAGAAGTGACCCACTGTAGGAGTGCAGTTTTGGATCACCAGCCAGGGCTCTGGCAGCTGAGCCAGTTGGTACCCCCTAGAGCCAGGGATATGAATGGCATCATTCATCTTTCTGGTTTTAACAGAACTGCCAAGTGGAAAAGTTTCAGCTTTTTACTAGCAGTGAATATATTCTTCTTTATTTTTGATTACCGGAAATGAATTTTGAGAAGAGGATTACAAATAATGATAAAGTATCGATCTAAGTAAATTGGTAGCTGTACTCAGTACATCCAATCTGTATTGCCCCTTTTGACTTCAGCAGTTGTTCTGTGAGGGAGATGTTCGGCATGGTCATGAAATGGCATTAAGAGCCATCACAAGGTGGTAAATACCTCCCTGTAACTAATTGAATGATGTTTCATGTATAACTGGAGACCCGTAGGGGTTTGTTTTCTCTCAAAGCTTTAGTGATATTTCAATTTGTGACAGGAAGAACTGAAATTAGGTTTTTAACTTCCTTAAACCTGCAAGAACTGTTTAGGTAACCATCTGTCTTGTAACTGCAGTAAATGTTTATATGCAACTTAAAAGCTGCATTGCCTTAGAGTGGATGCATTGAGGTCAAGTGTGGGCTGTTTGATTTATAGCCAAAACACCTTCACTCTGTATTGAAATCTTGTTGTGGAATTTTACATTATTAATGTATCTACCTAGGACCTCAAATGTAAAACGTTCCTATTGTATAATAGGTGATGGAAATAATTTCTCTTTAAAACCATCAAAGCTGAGAAGGTGGGTAAGACTTCTGGGCTGTGGCCACACCCCTGCAGTGCTAGTGTTTAGGTAACATTTTTATATGGGACACTACAAAATCAGATACTATGTTCAGCAATTATACTCTTCTTGAGGCTTTTCTTT